GTCCGGTTGGCCCAGGGACGCGGGGTCTGGGAGGCAGGCGCAGCCGCGCATCTCGGCCTGAGAGCCGGGGGGATGGAGCGGCGGGGGCGGGGGCGGCTGATCCTGGGGGCCCAGGGACCCAGTCTCCTTACCCTTAGGCACATGTCGCAGGCAGTGGACGTAGGCGCCGGCGGAGGAAGCGGCGTTCGGGCTCGGGCTGGGGTGCTCCGCCCCGAACAGGGTGCAGACCAGGGAAGGGACATGGGCCCGGATTTTGGGACCCACGCGATTGGGCAACACGGGCAACGGCTCCGCTTCCTACCCTCCGGGCCCGCCCCGAATCCCCGAGTCTTAGCAGCCTGGACGTTCTGGAGGGAGGAGCAGCGATAGGGAGGCTGGACCTGGAGCCCCGGGGCCCACTTTCCATTGCTCCATGAAGAACTGCTAATTGGGCTGTGGGCGGGTGCGGCCCAGGTGCCCAGGGGATTTGGCAGCTGGGAAGGTGAGTCATAGATGCACCTGCAAGGTTCACCTGCAACCGCTTGGCACGGTGGGCCCAGCGGGCCTTGTGCACCCCACACCGTGGTTGGAAGGCATTCATTCATTCCCCATCTCTCAGATTGGCAGGGCCTGCTGTCCATGGCCTGTAAAATGGGGTGGCAGCACCCATTTCGGTTCACGTGGCTGGGGACTGTTACCCCACAGGGCAGAGATGGGGTGGGGACCACCCGCAGGCTCAGCTGTGCCCTCACAAGGCTAGTGGTCTTTGGTGGGGGTGGGGGCTTGGAGAGGCTGACCCATAGTGAGTGAGGAGACGAAACAAATTTTAAACTCAAATGGTTCAGGAGTGCTCAGAAGGATACAGAGCTGAGAGGACCTGAAGGGTGGGGAGGCAGGGAGAAGTGCCTCCGGGCAATGGGAACAGTTTGTGCAAAGCTTTCTCTGAGGTGGGAACTGTACCTGGGGGTGAGGAGGATAATGAGGGAAGGAGATGACTATTTAGGAGGCAGGGCTTTCTTACTAATGTCATGTGTCTTCTCTATAAAATGCCTGAGTTATGCTTTGGGTTCCCAGATGGTAGAAGCAATGAGCTCCAAAGGCACGTTGGGTGGTTCTGAGGCTCTAGGCTGTCTTGTGCAGAGGCAGGTTGAGGGGAGGGGGCTGTGGCGGCCCCCACCTGCCAGATGCTAGTTAGTGAAGTATTCTGGGAGCTGGGGAGTCCAGCTGAGCTCCTTCCTTGTTTCCCCTGCCCTCCTCACCAGGCATCCGGTCTTGGGACATTGACCCTGGTGTCTGCAGCCTCGATGAGCAGCTCAAAGTCTTCGTGTCCCGGCACTCAGCCACCTTCTCCAACATCGTGAAAGGTGAGGCTAGGGACCCCACCTGCTGTAGCTGCACCCCTTCTGCTCATTCATTGGGGATGTGTTCTCTGAGTGCCAGCTGTGAACCAGGCATGGGGTTCGGGGATGACTGTAAACAGCAACACTAATCATACAGCTGCGATCTACTGAGTACAGAGGAGGGGCAGGCCCTGAGCCAGCACTAACTCCCTCAGTCGTCAACAACCCACAAGGCAAGAATTTGTGTTATTGTCCCCATTTTACAGATGAGGCAGCTGAGGTGGGGTGGAGGGGACAGGGAGACCTCTGAGGAGGGTCCTTTTGGATGAGAAGCAGCTGCGGTTGGTGTGGAGGGTGGAGGGAAGAGCCCCAGGCAAAGGGACAGGACATTTGGAAAGTGAGGGACTGCTGAGCGGGACTGGAGAGTGGAGCATGGGCTTGGTGAGGCAGAAGCTGTGTCTGGTTCGTGGCTGTGATTCCTGTACAGTGGATGCTCAGTAGATGGGGATCTGAGAAGGCAGGATCAAGGAGGGGTTGGGATTCGTGGGCCAGCCCCATACAGCTCATGGCTCCCAGGGGATTTTTGGATGACTGGGGTGAACTGAGCAGCTGCTGGGTGGGGCCTGGGTGTTGCCTGCAGCTCCCCCTGTCTCAGCCAGCCTGTTGAGTCACCTCCTGGCTGCTGCCAGAGGGGAAGGAAGTGTCCGTCACCTTGCCTCATTGTCCCATCGGTTCTGGGTAGCTTCCTGACCCTCACTGAATTGGCGGGGGAGTAGGGGGAAGCTGGAAATCCTGTTCTGAGTGATCTTGGCAGCCGCTTCCTCTCTCTGTGCCTTAGTTTCTCCACCTGAATGGGTCAGCATCCACACATGATAAAAAGTATGTGATAAATGGATAAAGGGTAACCAGCCATGGAGGGTCCTTGCCTCTCCAGACTCAGGGTCTGGTGCTCTGTGTTTGAAACATATCTGGGCTCTGGGGAACAGACCAGGGTCAGGCTCCCAGAATCATCCCCACTCCCCTCTCTGTGGCCCGTGAGACCTCCGTGCCCTCGGCTCCCTCATGCAGCCCCTTGCTCCAGCCCCACCTGCCACCTCCTGATCCTCAGACACCCCGAGCTTAGTCCTGCCTCAGGGCCCTTGCCCATGCTATGCCCTTTTCCTGGTGAATCCTCCTTGGCCCTCCCTGGGCTCAGGCTCCTTGACTATAAAATGAGGGTGACAGTGGCCTCCCCCACAGGGCTGAGAATTGGGCCCTACATGCAGCAGAGGCCTGTTGTCACGGCTGTTTCCAGGGCTGCCAAGGCAGATTTCCTGTTATGGCCTCATCCTGACCTGTGGCCCTACCACAGGCATGTTCGTCCCTGGATGACCTCCCTGGCTGGGGTTCCTGAGAAACCAAGTCCTAGACAGGCTCGTGGCTGCGTGGGGTCACACAGTGGGGCAGGGTTCGGCCCCAGGACAGCCTGACCCACACACACGTGGCTCAGCCCTAAACTCACAGGGCCTGGTTTCCCCGTAGGCCAGCGGAGCCTGCACCACCGTGGAGACACCCTGGAGACGCTGGTCCTCCTGAATCCATCAGACAAATCCCTGTGTGACGAGGTAGGGGAGGGTAGGCTTTTGCAGGGAGCAGGCTTCGGGGACTGATGCCATCCTCTGTCCTCACCTCCTATATCCCTGACTTCATACTGCTTGAAATGCTCTTCTGGACACCCCCCCACCCAATGGCTCCAGCCTCAATTTATTCCCTCAGAGCTGATGATGGGAGCGGGTGGCATCAAAAAAGGTGGGAGTTGGGGAGGAAGGAACGGGATAGGGACAGTCTGGAGGCAAGAGGGCAGGATCTGACCGATATTTGCGTCCTGTGCGTTCCTTCTGGCTGGGGCCCAGCAGTTGTCTGAATTGACTTCTTAATACTTCTAGCTTGTGGACATCTGCACTCTTCTCCCAATTTTCCATGAGAAAGAGAAACAAGATAGAGCCCCCAGACACCCCTCTAGAGACCCTTGTCCAGGTCAATTTCTCTGATCAGAGATGCTCCTGTTTGCTCCCTGGGTGGGGCTCTGGAGGAGACAGAGCCAGACACAGTACCCTCCTCCCCATGGTGTCGGGACTGGGCCAGAGGGAGAGGTGGGCTTGAGGGAGCCCAGAAAGGGTATACAGGACTTCCAAGTGGAGGGGGCACTAGAGCTGGGCTTTGTAGAATGAGCAGGATTTGGGGGGGAGGAGTGCAGGCAGGGCCCAGAAGGAGGTCCACAGGCTATAATCCCAGCTGCTAGTTTAGCACTGGCCTGGCCATTGTGGGGACAGGAGTGGGATGGTTATATGCAGATTTGCGGCTGGGGACTACCCCCAAAGTGGGGGGTCAGCTATCTCACTGCATGGAATACAGCTTTGAAAACTCTCCCCCTCCCTCAGCTCCGAAACCTCCTGCTGGATCCTGCCTCTCACAAGCTGCTGGTGCTGGCTGGGCCCTGCCTGGAGGAGACAGGGGAGCTGCTGCTCCAGACAGGGGGCTTCTCACCCCGCCACTTCCTCCAGGTCCTAGGGGACAAAGAGGTAAGCCTTCCCCTCCCCATCCTGCCTCTGAATCCTGCCTCATCCCCACTGGGCTGTAATGGCCCAGCAACCCACTGTTCCCCCGAGCATCATCCCCTCCTCTTCTGTGGAATGATGGTGGTAACATGTGTTCCTCCTGTTGTCAGGGCCCAGTCCCATCACCCACTTTGGTTTGAGGCTGCACCTTTAGACCCAGAGGTCTCAGAGGCCTCAAGTGGCACCCCAGATTCTAGTTCCCATCTTGGACAGAATTGGATGGGGCCCCTTTTGGATCCCTTAGTCTGGATAGGGTAGATAAGCAGAAAACTCTGGCAGACCATGTTTTTACATTGTAGTGAGTGATGTAGTGATGGCAAGATAAGAGCCAGTACACAGAGTTGGGGGTGGGTACTAATAGAAGTCCTCCCTGGAAGGAGCTGTTCTCTAGGAGGTGAAAATACCAAGTGCAAAGGCCCTGGGGCAGGGAGAGTGAGAGAGGGTAGGATGAGTGGAAGGGGGACAGGTGGTGAAGCAGGACAGTAGGCCCTCCTGGACTGTGAGGAGGGCTGGGTTTTGTCCTGAGGGTGACAAGGGCAGGCAAAGGGCCCTTCTAGCACCAGAAGGCAGAACAGAGATGTTCTCACTTAGTTTTCCCAAGGGGCTGGGTGTTGCCTGGCTGCAGGTGACCCCTTAACCATCCCCCTCTCTATAGATCCGGGATCTCCTGGCCTCCACACCCCCACCTGCCAGCCCAGCCAAGCTCACCATCACCTGCCCAACCTTTGGTGACTGGGCCCAGCTGACATCCGAAGTGCCCGGCCTCCAGGGCGTGCTCCAGCTGCGGCTGAACCCTCCAGTGCAGCTGCCAGCTGCTGAGGGCCTGCGTGAGTTCCTGGAGTATGTGGCCGAGTCACTGGAGCCACCATCCCCCTTTGAGCTGCTTGAGCCTCCGGCCTCTGTGGGCTTCCTCAGGCTTGCCCGGCCCTGCTGCTACATTTTTCCTGGTGGCCTCGGCGATGCTGCCTTTTTTGCCGTCAACGGCTTCACCGTGCTGGTCAATGGTGGCTCTAACCCTAAGTCAAGCTTCTGGAAACTGGTGCGGCACCTGGACCGGGTGGATGCTGTGCTGGTGACCCACGCGGGTGCGGACAGCCTCCCTGGCCTAAACAGCCTGCTGCGGCGCAAGCTGGCAGAGCGTGAGGAGGCAGCCGCTGGCGGGGGCTCCGGGGATGACAGGCTGCGCAGGCTGATCTCCCCTAACTTGGGTGTCGTGTTCCTCAATGCCCGGGCAGCTGCCTCACGGCTGGTGCGCGGCGAGGATGAGGCGGAGCTGGCCCTGAGCCTCCTGGCCCGGCTGGGCATCACGCCCCTGCCCCTGAACCGGGGGCCACTGCCAGCCGAGCCCACCGTGCTCTTCCAGAAGATGGGCGTGGGCCGGTTGGACATGTACGTGCTGCACCCGCCTTCGGCCACTGCCGACCACACGCTGGCCTCCGTGTGCGCCCTGCTGGTGTGGCACCCCGCGGGCCCCGCTGAGAAGGTGGTGCGTGTGCTGTTCCCTGGCTGCACGCCGCCTGCCCGCCTCCTGGATGGCCTGGTCCGCCTACAGCACCTGGGATTCTTGCGGGAGCCTGTGGTGACCCCCCAGGACCTGATGGGGCCTCGGCGAGCCGAGAGCAAGGAGAGCGTGGGCTCCCGGGACAGCTTGAGGAAAGAGGGTCGATTGGCAGCGCCCTCCAGGTCTGCCCAAGAGCGTCCTGGGGTGACCCGGAAGGAGCCGCCACGAGCTGAGGCCCCTCGTAGGGCTGAGAAAGAAGCCAAGAACCTCCGGGAGGTAAAAAAAGACCCCAAGCCGAACACCACTCGGACCCAGCCCCGGGAAGTGCGCCGGATGGCCCCTGCTGTGGTCAGCAGCAAGAAGGCAGGTGCCCTGGTGGCACCCAAGCCCCGCAAAGAACCGAACACACCCCGCCTGGGTGTCCCACCAACAGAGAATGGGCCCCACAGCCCCCCCAGCTTCCGTTGTGGAGAGGCCAGCCCCTCCACAGAGGCCTGTGGCTCTCCAGCCTCCCAGCTGCTGGCCACACCCAGCCAGGAGAGCAGCCTGGAGCTGGGGCTGAGCCCAGCTGGGGAAGAGGGTGGCAGCTTGGAGGAGAAGACCCTGGAGCTACTCTTGGCCGCCAGCACCCCCCAGCCATGCACGCCCTCACCCGCCGGAGCCCACCAGGGCCCAGCTGAGAGCAGTGGGCCACTGTCACTGAGCCCGCTGCGGGGTGGAGAGACCGGGCCGGATGCGTCCCCTACAGTGACCACGCCCTCGCTGCCTGCCGAGGTGGGCTCCCCGCACTCCACAGAGGTGGATGAGTCTCTGTCTGTCTCCTTTGAGCAAGTGCTCCCGCCACCGCCTGCCACTGCGAGTGAAGCCGGGCTGAGCCTCCCACTCTGTGGCCCCCGGGTGCGGCGCTCAGCCTCCCCGCACGACGTGGACCTGTGTCTGGTGTCACCCTGTGAGTTTGAGCACCGCAAGGCCGTCCCCATGGCTCCAGCACCCTCGTCCCCTGGCAGCTCCAATGACAGCAGTGCCCGGTCCCAGGAGCGGGCGAGTGCTCCAGGGGCCGAGGAGACACCACCCACATCTGTTAGTGAGTCCCTGCCCACCCTGTCTGACTCAGACCCCCTGCCAGCTGCCCCCGGCACTGCGGACTCAGATGAGGATACAGAGGGCTTTGGGGTCCCTCGCCGTGACCCACTGCCTGACCCCCTCAAGATCCCCCCACCGCTGCCCACCCCACCTAGTATCTGCATGGTGGACCCTGAGATGCTGCCTCCTGAGCAGGCCCGGCTGAGAGAGGGCCTCGGCCGTACCCGGAAGCCCCTCAGCCGCCCCAACCCCGGCACTGCTGCCCCCAAAGCCGCTTCAGTGACCACTGCCAAAACCAAGGGGCTGACCAGTGGGGACCGGGCCAGTCGGCCACTCAGCACCCGGAGCGAGCCCAGTGACAGAGGAAGTCGGACACCCCTGTCCAGAAAGGCCTCAGTCCCGAAGATGACCACTCGGGGTCCATCAGGTAAGTACCTGGGGGCTGGAGTCCTGCAGTGGGTTACCTGCCTGAGTCCTGTTCCCTACTTGCTATGTGGTCTCAGCCACACCCGCCACCCTTTCTGGGCCTCAGTTTTCTCCTATAAAATGGAAGCTCTGACCTGACTGTTTTAAGCATTTATAATTCCAAGTGCTCAAGTAGTACTGTCAATGGAACTTGAGCACAACCAGCATCCTGAATTTTCCAGTAGTCACCTTAAGCAGAAACAGGTAAAACTAGTTTTAATGGTATATTTTATTGAATGCATTTGTGTCCAGGTTCCCAAGACCACCCCCAGGTTCCAGGATTGGCTAGGAGACCTCGGTGTAGAGTCAGACTCATGGCTGAAATGTATTACAACAAAAGGATACAGAGTAGAATCAGTGAAGGGAAAAGACAAGGGGGGAGTCCCAGGGAAACCAGGCACGAGCTTCTGGAGCCCTCTCCTAGTGGAGTTACACACCATGTGCTTCATTCTCTGAGCTACGAGCTCTGCTGACCCGTGTGAAGTGCCGTCCACCAGGGAAACTCCTTAGAACCTCAGAACCCAGGGTTTCTGTTGGGGCTGATCATGCAGGCAGCCTCTGCCTGACACGTACGCTGAAAAGGGTTCCTGGATCCAGTTCTTGGACACTAACTGGGTGTCCTACAATTCCCTTCAATTCTGACACTATCTAGAGATAGACCCGTGTTCCACAGGTAAAGGGCTCCACCCCACAAGCACCCTCAACTTCAGATGCCAGTCACAAGTCCAGGTGCTTCTGACCAAATGGCTGTAAATCAGAGGTTCCCATGACCCCCTCCTTGGGTCCGGTTAATTTGCCAGAGCAGATGACAGAACTCAGGAAAACCTGTTTACTCACTAGATTACTTATGTATTATAAAAGGCTCTTAAAGGATACGAATCAACAAACAGATGAAGAGATACATAGGGTGAGGTCCCAAACGAGATCTGATGTCCTTGTGGGACTTGAGGCCCTGCACGGTGGCACACAGAAGTGTTCTGTTTCCCTGATGTGGAAACTCTCTGAAAAGGGGCCAAAAAGCTGTCCTCTGGGGCTTTTATGAAGGCTTCATTACGCAGTCATGATTGACTAAATGATAGACCAATGGTGACTGATTCAACCTCAAACTCCTCTTCCCCTCCCTGGAAATCAGGGGGCAGAACTGAAAGTTCCAACCCTCTAATCACATGGTTGGTTCTCCTGGCAACCAGCTCCCACCTTGGGATGGGATCCAAGGTCACCTTCATTAACATAAATCCAGTTGTGATGGAAAGGGTTGTTATGAATCATAACAAGACACCCATTTCACCTTTTTGGCCCCGAAGTGTTTTCTGGAAATGAGGACAAGAGACCAAATGTAACAAGATGTTGCCTTTGCTCTCACTGAGCAGAAAATTCCAAGGGTTTGGGGAGCTGTAAGCCAGGAATTGTGGATGAAGACCAAATACGTCTGAGAATGACCAAGTGTATATATTTTTTATAAATCACAATATCACAGTCCACCCCCTGGTCTTTGAACACAGATCCCTTACGGCAAAACAGTCATACCTACCCCAGCAGCTGTGTATGGGACAGCGGTTACAGAACAGATACAGCAATAGTATACCCACACTGCGGGGAGGGTCCAGCTCAGTGGTAGAGCGCATGCCTGGCATGCATGAGGTCCTGTGTTCAATCCCCGATAGCGCCCATTGAAAAATAAACAAACCTAATCCCTATCCGACCCCTGCCGATGTACCAACACCAGTAGGCCTAACATTTGGAGAAGCCAGTGTTGGGTAGGGATCAATTTAAAAAACATGTCATTTGCTACTTGGACTTTGCGGTAAACTTGTGCAGAGCTATTTAGCACAGAAATCAGCTGGTGATTCGCTCGATCCAGTTGCTCCTTGGGCCAGTCCTTTTCCATGTGTATTACATCCAGAGGAGGCTTAACTTAGTCTCCCAATGCATCTGATTATCACTGTCAGCATTATCACAAGACTTATTTACCTAAAGTAGTTGAATCTTACCAACTCCAGGGTTACACCATATTGAAATATGGTCACGGTACAATTCAGTTTGATTACAGAGCAAATCAGAACTACAGAGATGTTCACTTTGCCTTCCCAGCAAAATCTGCCTTTGCACATATGACAGATATTATTAAGGACAAGGGTCGTGACAATTGGCCATGAGTCAGTTAGCTCCAGATTCCAAGGTCACCAAAGACAAAGCCACTCACCCAGTCTCAGCTCACAGGCTTGTGTGGAGTCTGGTTTCCATCATGTGTTGTTTAGCAGGGCCCACCTCCCTCGGGGAAGACATGAATGGTATTTAGAATATTCCTGTCCCTGTTAACTGGACCACAGGATATGTTTTATTTCTAGCTTTACTGGGGGTGAGAGCAGTCAGGGTCCATCTTTGTAAACCACAGATCCTCCCAGAGAGTTTCCTTAAGCTTGAAGGGCCGTAACATAGGTGTGGGTGCCCCTGAGCCTCAGCAGCTAGGATTGGGGGGCCACTTCAGCCTCTGTTTGTATTTATTTTAATACAAAATACTATTTTGTTGAGAGGCCTTTTTAGGTCAGAGAACAGGCCCCTTCCCAGCACTGGGTTCTAGCCCGTCCAGCATTATTGGCTGAGTCTGCCTGACCCACTTTGCTAAAACCTCATTCTCTTTCCAGACTGACTCCCATCCTTTGCCTTCCTGGATGAGACCTCCCTCTAATCTGCCTATTCCAGTTAATCTTTTTCTAGTGAATGTTGCTGCTCATTAAGAGCGAATCCAACTTGTCCTAGGATACCTAGATTTAGCACTGATGTCCCCTAAGGCTCTTTTCTGTCTTGGGGCCAGTGTTGTTGAATGCACCATGGATTTTGTTTTTTATCTATTTCTTATATAGTAGGTTGTATCTGCCTATCCCAAATTCCTACTTTACCTCTCCCTGGTCATCAAGATTGAGAATTACACGGTGATTACATAGATCTGTCAGCTCAGAGCCCCGCATCACATAGTTTGAAGTCTTAGTAGGGAGCAGTTCTTGGAAATTCCTCCCCAAATGATATCCTTGGTAGTAGATGTAGCCTGAAAACTAGGAGTCAGAAGATCCAGGCACATTGCTGGAATCACCAGAATTCCATTTAGTCATTAACAGTTGGTCCTGTTCATCAATATATCTTAAGACCAGAATGTCTCCTAGAGTGATGCCGCTCAGATCAGCAGGCTGCCTATTCAGTCTTGTCAGGTCCCCAAAGCAGGGCTGGCTTCAGCAAACTAGCTTCACCCTGCCGGGCATCTGGTGTGCTTCTGCTGAGAGATTGAATTATTCTCTTGCTCTGAGCCTCTCTCCAGCTATTAATAAAATGTTGGATTTCCCTCGTTGCATAACCCACTTATTCATCACTTTACCCTCAGCTATTATTTCTCCTTCTCTCCACTTGTCATTTATCTTTACCCAAACTTTTCCACCCTTGGACGGGGACAGGAGGTTCATCCACTGTGCTGGTCCAGACGGCTGGCAGCAAACCAGGCTAGCGAGTGCCTCCCCCTCTGTCCACTGCCACCCGTGTAGAGTGGGGTTACGCGGGTACAGAACCACAGGCAGCACAGCAGCACTCACTGGTGGCCCCAGCTTTGCCTGAGGGCTGAAGGCCCCACCTCCATCAGGCCCTTAGGAACTCTGACATGAAGATTTAAAGGTGTGGTTCCCGTTTCTGGTTTAGGAGTCATCCCTGCTTCTGGCACCCACACTTGCATCCCTGGTCCTGGGACCACTGCATCAAGTAGGGAAAAAGAAAGTTGCTGTGACGTGGGGAAGAATGACAGTTGCGTCAGCATCCTCCCCCACCCCCACTTCCCCACATCCCCCAGAAAAGGGGAGGAACCTATCCGGTGGGGACCCCCCTTAACCCCCTGATGTCAAGCATGAGCACACACTTGTGAAGGCGTTTAAGCCCACCTCTCATGGCTTTATCTTCCCCCCTATTTTAGACAGCAAACATGGCAGCCACCCATTCCGATTTTCTAGTAAACCATCATTCTGAGGGTGATAATACAGCACATCTGGTGTGTGGTCTCTTGGCCCACTGTTGGACGATATGGGCTGTAAAGTGTGTCCCTCGGTCCGAAGAATTACAACTCAGTGGCTCAAATGGTCACGGTGTTTTCTGTTCCAGTCCCGTAATACTGTCTTGAGCGTTTGCATCTACTATCAGGTATGAAAACCCAGCCCGGACTGTCTGTTCCTGTTAGGACTCGTTCATAGTGCTCACCTCATCCCACCCCGGGGGCCACTGGCATGGGTCCAGTGTAATCCGCTTGTCAGCTCTGGGCCAGGCCTTGCCCCCGGGGAGTTTCCCCCATCGCCATCTGTGGTTTCTCTCTCTTGTTGGCGGTTCTTATTGGCCTTTTGTGCCTTGCAGGCTGCCAGACAAATATATCTGGGTTTAGCCACCCGCCCTGCATTGCTGCACCCCTCCCCAACGTCCAGTCATTCACAGACCCTGATCCATGGCCACCTCAGGGAGCACACCAAAAGATCCGCTTGGTGGTTCAGTCACCTTCCAAACCTGGAAGGGGTTCTTCTGATGGGCATGGACATGTCCTGCTTTAAGGCACCTCTTAAATTCCCAGAGTGATTTCCATAGGGCTGTGCCCCTTGCAGGCGCCCTTTTAATAGTCCAGATTTCCATTGCCCAGCCACCTGACCATATGGCCAGGCCACGGGCTGTGGCCCATGAGTCGGTCAAACCGCAAACATAAGGGCTTTTACTGTTGCTCAATTTCTTCCACCACTGCTGGGAAAACGGCGTGCAGTTCAGGCCACTCAGCGGATCAGTTCTTGCCTTCTTCAGTCAGTCTTGCATCCGCCAGTCTTAATGTGGTTGCTTTCCAAACGGCATATTGTCCATTCATCTTGAAACTGCCCTTTGTAAAGCAAGCAGCAGTTTGTTGTTCAGTTGAGAGATGTTCACAGGGCACGTCCACGTGCCAGTCTGTTC